ACAATGAGCATAGCGAGGGCGGAGTATGGAGACGGCACTTGGGTTTCACTACCGCCCCTGCAATTTTTGGGAGGAGAAAGTGGCACGCTACTGCAGCTGCAGACCGATTCACCTCGCCATGGGGAGGTGAGTGTGCAGTTCGTCTTTGAAGGCAAAGGCCGCGATCATTCGCCATCACAGATAAAGGATTATTACTGGTTTACATATAGACGACAAGGTGCTGAGTAACTCGATAGTGAAGAAAAAAAGCAGAAAAAACATGCCACTGCCCTAGATAGAACCCCATTTCGATCCCAGTTTGCACGTGCCCAATTAACTCCATCTCCAACACCACGCCGCCATCCGCGCAGTTGATTTTCCGACAGGGTACAGCATTGTGGTGTGTGAGATGTGGTGTAGGTGGGGTACGTACGAGCTGTCCTTCGAGGGAGGGTGTCAGTACGACCCCTTTCCTACCTAGATGAGGGCCTCCGTACGACCCCCCCCCCCTCCTCCCCAACCAAATACTTTGCTTGCCCACTTTTTCCAATTCCACAAGCAAAAATTTCGTTGTCGAGGGAGGGGGGAAGCACAGTATATGAAACAGTAAAAATCACGTGAAAAGTCAAGATCCGGGAAAAATTTATTCCGGACGCGGAAAATTCCTCTCAAAGGCATATACGACCCAGTGGCCAAGTACGACCCCCCTCTCCCTACAACGACGAAATACACCCCCCTCCCCAGCGGAAAAGTATGATCCCCTATTTGGTTCACACAACGATGTACCCTGTTCCCCGATAAGATCAACCGTATAAGTGACGATTTTCATGCTTTTTCGACCTGCAGCTTCCGTTTTTCACTGGAAGGGGGGGGGGCTTACATGCGGGGTCTGAAGGTGGAGTCACTGAAAAAAGGAGGCGGCACTGAACCTGTATTGCGCTATAGCGCCCTCCCTTACAATTTTTTGCCGCGAAACCGGTACAAGGTTGTTCGTCGCGGAGCCACACTACCTCCCGACGCATATTTCCAATATTTATACCTGATCGCGTATCGTACCTCTAAGGACGAGTTTCCCAAGTCCACATAGTCATAGCATAATATAGAGACAAATTTCGATGGTACCCCGGAAGGTAAGAGCGTAACTGGCTTATCACTTCAAAAGATCTGGGATAGGTATTGATTTTGCGCCCACCTAGTCGATAACTACACTCCATATCCTGGAGACGGAGAGGGCGTGGCTGCATACTTCATTTAAATGTTGCACCGGCTCTCTCTTTGGAGAGATATTGCCGTTCCGGGACAACTGTAACGATGTCTTTGTCCTGCAAAAGACAGGGTGACAATTGCCCCATATGGAATTAACGAAGAACGCAATTTACGCCATATTCAATTAAAGCACGCAGCCACGCCCTCCCCATCTTCGGGATAAGTGCACCTACCATTTTCACGCGCTACGCGAACGGCTAAAAATGGAAAAGGATATTTCAGGCTGTCACTCCAAACATGTACTCTGATTCGTTATGGGAGCCACATGGACGTTGGCAGCACTTTTCACAAGAGATTTCCAGGTACTATGGACGAGGTGTCTCACACCAATTCCATAAAAAATGTCGTTTAGGATTGCGATGACGAGAGGCGACATGCTCACTGCGAGCTGTTCAGGCCACTGCCTTTTCTATGGCCACACAACTCCCTCGTTCACGGAACTACCGATTCGACACTCGGATTTCGGTGTTGTTCACAGGTTTGTCTCGTCAACCCGCAGCTGAATCCATTCGTGTGCTTACCATTAGCGTTTTGCTTACATTCCACTGGAATCTACACATGAGCAAACGGAGCTCTTCCTCTATACTGAGGCCACTTGTGAAAAGAACAACGAGATCAAACAAAGCTCCAATGAGAACTCCTCTAATGCTGTGTGGTGATTGTTGAGACGATGTGGCGTTGCAAGCATGTTCACGTACGCGACATTCGCACCAGGAGGTAATTGAATGCCATCGCAGTTCATGGTAGCAACGGTTATTTACTATTCGTCAATTTCGGACCGCTTCACTAGCCACAAGACTGGATATGGACCTGGATTACAGAAGCATGAAAACAGCGACCTTTCGGAGTACTTACAGTCTGGTTCGATGTGAAGGCTGGGCACCTCAGGGAGTTGGGTTCCTCGCGGTGCCTGCCAGTTTTTGAACCCATCTTTTCTTAGAGAACCCGTTTTTGAAGGCAGTGGCATGACGATGGGTTTCGGGCGATGGGTTGGGGGTGGGGCGCTTTCTGCGAACGCCATTAGGTGGAACGGGCTACGAGTGGGCGTTGGCCACGCCTCAGCCGCTTCTCATTGCTGACGTTCGCATTAACCGTCCGGACACGAGCTCAGGGTGGCGCCCTTTCAGGTGGTTATGCAAGACCTCCACAATATGCTTTAACCCGGCCTACGCAATGCGAGATGTTCTCCGATCATGTGGTAAGGAATATTCTGTCGATCAAGATGTCCATGGAGCATGAACAAGCTTGGCATAACACCTATAACTGATTGCACGCGGATGCCTACAGGCATGTGGATCAACATGATAGAAAATTCTCTGTTCCACTGACATAAAATTCATACATTCCCGGCGCAGGCGAGCAGAGTGTTCCTAACTATTGAAGGCCATGCACTTTCTATTGCTCTAAAATAGTAGGAAGGGTGTGCATGCGAACTCGAAGTTGAACGGCCAAAATCTGCCAAAAATCTTTGTTCTGAATGGCATCGGACGAGCAAGTTTGGACGGGTTTCTCCTGGCATCGTGCCACCAACCACTTTCAAGACACGCCAGCGCTCATGCAACGGCATTTATCCATATATCCATGTAGCAATGCTTTCAATTATCAGAATGTGGCTTCATAAATAAAGCGATAAGATACCAGCGTCGATGTGACTGTGCGTCCATTTGAGGGGGGGTTGCCTATGGGCGACTGGGTGGGCATGGTGCACCTTGATTAGGCGCTATAACGGCGCCCTTCGTTGGAAAATGCGCCACGCAGAACCCGTTGAAGGGCTAAATGTTCTTTCGCGCTAGGAGCCTTGTGGATTTACCGTGCCACCTGCATCTGAAGCGACGTCCTGTGCTCGTCCCACACTGATTGAGGTCGTGGTGCGAATGCCGCGCACGAGACACCATTTGCATCGCTGATTTAGCCACGTCGCACTATTCCAGAGCTGGAACAACCTTTCCAAATCATGAATAGAAAATCCACTGACGTCAGGTTCAAAGAACATATTGTTGGTGGTACCCAAGAACTGAAAGCTTACACATGTGTCAGTGGTGTCAACAAAGGCACGTGGCGACATTACAAGCGTCTACTTGAGTAATCTCACGATTGCCAGGAAGAAAGCTGAAGCAGGTGATACGACAGTCGAAGATGCCATAGGAACGAAAGGTCGTGCTTCCTGAAGACATGGCACACAACGTTGTAGCCAGTCCTGAGCTCCCTCCAGCACGTTCACCGATTCCATTTGGACAAGAGAGAGAAGTGCAGGGAGGCGGAAATCGCATCATAGAAGCAAACAGGGCGGGAGACAGGTGAACCCGGGTAGCAATAGTTGAGCTCCGTTCGACATTGTTAACACATTCCCTTGTCTCCTCTTCACATTTTCTCTCTCATTTTGGTTCTTAAGGAGCAATGGAGTGTCGAACCCACTACGTCAACCGTACGTTTGCCGACTGATGGAGGATGATTCACATATTTTTTGCCGACCGGACCAGATAGCTGCTGAGATCAAGGCATGACTGTCTTATTTTCATTTAAGGGTACACTGAGCACCCGAGAGGGTCTCAGGGCCCGTCCCGTGCAGACGTGAGGGCTGGCCTACCACTGTGCCTTCCCCATTGAAACGGTCCATTTTTCTTGAAGGGTGAAGAGCGTGCCAGTAGGGTCCAATGGTAGTCCGGTTCCGCCTATGGGACGTACGCGGGCTGTGCTCAAAAATAAACTGTTTCAGGACAGCATCGACTTTTTATCATTTTTCTACGGAAAAGTCATGAAATTCAATATTGAGGCAGAGCTGTCAACAAGATCTCATGATTGCTGCTTAGGAGACGTTTTTGTGCGTTTCTTCTGTACATTTCTACCCTGCGAGGCGGTAAAATCTTCTGAGACTGGGCAATAGCCTCGATGTCGCATACTTTTAGCTATGGGAGACAACCGAAAAAGTACTAAAAGATGAGTTTCAAAAAAGAGGTAGATCCACAGGAATCAGAGAAGGAGCAGCACCGTTCTATGGTCCAAGAGTACGTATATTTGCTGTGACGAGAATTGCAATAATTCCATTTTGCACCAAAGAATTTTAGCTTGACCTCACTTTTCGTGAGCCCAACGGTCGTTATCACATCTATGGCTCCATTCAGTTGGACTTCGAGCTACCGGAACGATTCGATCTGGGTTATATTGGGTAGGTTTCTTTGACATTGCTTTGGATTCTTGAAGTTCTCAATCCTGCTCATTATTTTTTTCTCGCGCCTATACCCGTTCCTAGTGATATAAAATATGGGCTGCGTAACCCATGGAGCGTTGAGAGAGATAGGACAGCGCTTTCCGAGCAGTAACGCTAATAGTCGACCGCAGTGATAATGTGATGAAATATACAGATCATTGCCATCCTAATGCAACGCTTTGGTAAGAAGGCACCTCAATTTCTTTCCCCCCCCCCCCACTGCGTTTGAGCACGCAATGTGCTGGAGGCTTACGCAATATGGCATTACTGTCAATTTCCACCTCGTGGTTTACGTAGAACAGTGAGTGGGCCCGGCTTATTCCAGCCAGATTTTATGCCGCTTTCTCTCTTTAGATAGGGTGCAGGTGGAATAGAAGCAACGCTGGGCTGCTTATCACATGTGCTGTCCGAGGTACAGATCCCGGATTTCCCACCCAAGCAACCAAGCCTTTCACTTTTCGGGTACGGTAAAATCTGATAATCCGCGATTTGGAGGGTAGAGTTGATTCTCAGTGTCCTGGCCTCGCAACCCATAGGCCATAAGCTCATAACTCATAGGCGAAACTTTTACTTATCATTACCTTCATGTACTAGTGAGTTGAAAAGCTTGGAAAGCTCTTCGCACTCTGGACACCCTAGCATGATCGCAGTTCTCAGTCCAATCGTATATTTTAGACGGTTGATAAAGGTGGCTGTTTCGAGCTTGTAAGGAAAAGAGACACAAGTAACCTTCGCAACCTACACAGTTGACCTTCAGCATTGTGTGAGCGTGCCGTGATTAGAGACGCAGAGACTCTCGAAGCGCCCGCGAGAGCCATTCGGTCGCACTCAAGAAAATGTCCAAAAATTTTATCGCAACGCACGAAGCAGCCGTCATTCACAGGCTTTTGAACTTGGCAATCACGGAATGTGCACTCATTATACCAGCGACGGAGTAGGCGTGGCAAATGAACACTGGCAGATTACTCGTGGAATATGTCAATTTGTGACAACTGTCATCTTGTTCTGTGTTGAAGAAAGACATGGTTGCAGCTGCCCCAAAATCAATATCTCAGAAAAGCTTAGCCGCTACCACTTTCTATTCATGTACGCAGCTACGCCTACCACATCTCAGGGGTTTTGAGTGCATTTCCGAACCTTGTTTCGGGCTTGGCAAGCACCGACTGCCCTTGCCACGCACTTTATTGTGGCTAGCGGTTGAAGACTCCTGGTCCCTATTCACATAAAAGATGCCACTCTTTTGACAATGGTTGAATAATCTTCGAAAGGGAATCCAGTTCGAGTGACTGTTATTTTTATGTTACAATGCAACAATATTCATTTTTACTATCTCTTGATTTCTAAGAGAGGATGGTAAGCGGCACCGACCAGTGCTGATTCATCGTGCCATCGTACCACCAGCAGAGACAATTTTGGCTATTATTGCTACCGAATGTGGAGAATGCTGGCCATTCTGGTTATCGCTTCACCAGGTACGCTTTCAAAGCTCGTCTTCTCTAGTAAACACCCTTATCAATGTCCTTTCGGCCCGATACAGTCCCACGTTCTGCTTGTTCTTATCAAGATGTGTTTACATTCGAATCCATTATCATTTAGGTGAACGTGATTCCAGTATGCGCCGTGTCAGTCCCATACGCCCGGAAAGTGGCAAAAGAATTCACTGATGCAAACTATGAGGTGGACTGCACTCTCTTTTCCAATCGTAATAGCCCAGCTGGCTGGACCCACCTAACAGAGACGATCCTTAGGTGGAGGCAAATTTTGAGTGCGTGGGAACACTAAATCGGCGGATCAAAACTGCCATCGCATCGAAGCACAACTTTATTCTGGTGGTGGGCCGAACTGAAACAGCAAATAGGCACCGTAAACGTACGCACAAGGAACGACCTTGTAAGTTCCACATTGGTATCTTCGAAACTTCTAGGAAGTGAGAATCCTATTCTGGGTGATGGTAGCGTTTACATCCCATTGCTGCAACACGTGCGGCAACCATTCCTCGCCTTACAGTCCCATCCAAGCGACTCCAAGGCTCTCCTATAAGTTTCTAGAAGCAATAAATATGAAATGGTGGAGAACCGATTCTGAGATGAATTTTGCATTCGACTTTTACACATAACGGCGGGAGCGTTTGGATGATTGAGATGGAGTGAGTTTGGACGGGGCCTCAACATTGAGTTGGGCCTCTGAATACGGCTTACATGGCTGCGTTCATACTTTGCGGCAGCGCTCCACTCAAGCCGTTCCGAAGACGTTCCGCCAAGCCCGTTTCCCAGCGTCTCATTTCAGCCGACAGGGGGGAGAAGCGTAGTGGGGAAGTAAGGAGGCAGCATCAGCTGGACTTAGTAACCGTTAGACCTACATCTACAACGTGAATTAATTGCAATAATTTCGTGTATTTGTAAGTCAGTCTGCGTGACGGTTGACCACGCGCTGCAATCTTCACGACGCCGTGGTCCTGCTATTTTTGCTGCTGCTCCGCTTCCCATAACTCTCTACTCTCTGGTTTGTTGATGACGCCTGGTGATGGTGGTAGACTTTGGTGACGCTGCGGCAAGTATGTAACGCAGCCTAATCTCCAGCTCTACGTGCTATTGCGACACAATTTGTCATTGTTCGAAATGAAAGCAGCGAGAAAAAAAAAGTATTGGAGCTCCCATTCTATGAAGGATTATTCATATATGTGGCCGCTTCTGAGGTTAGACCACCCCTTACGTACTTAAGCTGCCCAAATTTGGACTCTTGTACATACATTGTCTCGAGTCGTTCCACCTTCTCTCTCCGGTACTCAATAATGTTGATCTTATTTTAGGCTAATCGGCGATATACACAACTCGAAGAAGTGCTGTGCGGTTTCCGGAAGCGTGTTGAGGAAGAATACGCAGCAGCCCGATCGAGTGTAATCGAGGCATTCTGGCGTCTCTGTGGCCAGAGCGACTCGCGGTTTCCCTAACACAGCGGCACTTCGTATTGCCTGCCAATCATTATATCCAATCCATATTATACAAATAGACTGCGCTTAATTCAATATATCTCACACAGTTCTCTTTTTAACCGCAGGGCACCTCCTTTGCAGCCTTCTGTTCCTCTGCGAGGTCCACTGTTAACTAACTGATTATCGACGACATCAGCGAAAATTACCCTATTCATTCACGATTCAATTGACAATACGAGGTGCTAATGTTATTTATTCCTCCCACTTACATCCGCTTGCTTCCCTTGAATCCGAATAAAGATTCGTTGAAGATTCCTACTGCTCGTGGCAATTTGTTGGCCGAAAGTTTTCAAAAATGCTATAATTCTAACAGTGAGACTAACTGATGAACCAGGGGAAGGAGGAAGTCCATTCTTAGCTTCCACGTTTCCTAACGAATCTGTCACAAGCTTGGACTACGGAGAGCAGTGAAGGACGGTCCTAAAAGCCGAATACGCCTTCAATTAGCGTTAAGTTCTGTATTTCTCAGGCTCTCACGTCTGCCGTTTTGTAAACACCGTGACCTTTTACATTCCTTTTTGACGCCTGGAATGTGGATCATCTACCCCTGAGTCCTTCCCTCAAACGATAAAAGCGTCATCTACTAGCTCGCAGCTTGTTTTTTGTACCTCTCGATGCCTGGGCAGCCGCAGTTCTTTGTTTCTCCTGCTCTCTGGCTGCAGGTCCCCTACCAAAAGTAGTTGTCACGTGATACCCCCAGTTATGTTGTATTTTTTCGGATCGCCAAGTGATGCTTCGCCACGGAGTGGACCACCACGCAGATTTTCTAAAGTTCCCTAAACAGCTGCCTATCTTCCAGCAATCTATCTCCCATTCCACAGTACGGACACCACGAATCAACCGTTCTCTATGACTACACTGTGTTCCAGGTTCAGAACATCTCTCTTTGCACGAGGCCAGTTTCAATGTAGGCATCACTGTCAATTTGAAACCAGTCCGGATTCGACTGCTTTCCGGCAGGGCAATCCTCTTTGCGTGTGTGAAGTAGGTCCCGGACCTTCGAACTGAACAAGGGAACCCAACAGGTCGATCCCGGCCCATATTCAGTGCGATGTATAAAATATGATGTCTTGAGAGCCGCTGAATCCAAATCTGACCTTCTATTTTGCGGAACGATTCTCCAAAGGGAGTTACGGACCATTTAATCTTCGCTCCGTCTGCACAAGTTGAGAAGGATAACTGCAAGCGACAACCCCGCCGGTATGCCCTAGTGGTAAGTGAAGTTGCTTCGATGAGACGACAGTTTGCGAATGTTGGAACTTGGCTCTTGTAACCCCTTGCTTTTTTCCATCTCAAAACACTTGGTGTGAGCCCTCCAAACTTCTGTATTGGCAATTTCCACCTGAGTTTCTTGATATGTTTTGCCATGGAAGGCGGGCGATTCCCCATGTGTGGTTAATTCTGAAAACTTTTTTATTATGAGTATAACCGCATGTCACAAGGGTTTTTGCAGTGAAATACCATCATATTCATGTTCAGCGAGTCAAACTACCCCTGGAGACAAGTTTCTAAGCATCAAAAGAATCTGATATTTCCGACCGCAACTTGGAAAAATGTGTGCTGTTTCATTGGGTAACAGCGAAGCAGGGGGCGCTCACTGCCCATCAATTGAATTGTCTTGAGATTGGTAACTCAAGTTGTTGGTAAGAGGACAATGATGCAGACGCTATGAATCAAGCTAAGCCGGGTGACGCTTCGGCAGAAAAAGGCACGATAGAAGAATCTATTTCAGTTTGAAGACCAATCTCACCCCATATGATTAGTCGTAGTATGCGCTTTAGCTATCATCACGTCCATAAGCTATTTCATAATGCCCATTTCTCCGAAAGATAGCACTCGGCTCTTAGCTAAGGTGACGTCCTACCGGGTTGTACCGTGCGCGCGTGGTGAGCGGTCGGGTCGGTTGGCTCTGCGCCTGTAAAGAATTCCTTGGCTGCTCGACTCCAGTATTTCGTACTTCTACTGCGTTCTAAGCCCCTTTTTCTACTGCCTGACTAGTATTCTACTATACTGGCTGAACTAATTCTGCTTTATTCCTGATAACTGGTTCGCTCGACCTAAACACGAGCGTTGCACCGGTAATCTGCTTTTATTGATTCTATCGAATTTTCGTGGCCTACGCGTCGACGCAAGCGATATCCCTGGTGGCTGGGGACCTGGCAGCATACGTTAAGCCACCATCTCAGGTTAAATTCTTCCGTATTGTTTTTTTTACTATTGTGTATGGACACTCCAGTTGCGGCACCTTCCCTTCAGGCCCGCAGAGGGAAAAAGCACAGGATCGACCTCCAGAGCCCCGAGATGGACTTCGATCGCGCCATTGACCTGGTCATAAACGATACGTCGCTACCGACCCATTTGAAGAGCGCATTGGGCTTTCTTTTCGAATTGAAAGAACAAGTCAACGGCCTGATAGCGCGCAACAGGGAACTGTTAGAAGAAAATAAAACCATGAGGCAGAAAAATGTAGAATTAGAAAGTGAAGTAAGCAGGCTAAGGTCACAGATTGATGTCATGAAACAATCGATGTCATCGTGTAACCCCACTTCTCATTCTGGTATTGTGACGCCAATTAATTCTTCGTTTGATAATTTTGAAGAGGTAGAAAGAAAACGCTCGATAGTTATAATTGGAGTTGATGAAAGTAGTGCTCGCATTCCATCAGATAGAGTCTTTTATGATTTCTCATGTGTTAGACAGTTATTGGACTACCTCGCTGTTGAATGTCGCCCAATAGCAGTGTATAGGATGGGGCGTCTTGTACCCAACAAAAGTAGGATTTTGAAGGTTGTCTTTCCTTCGTCATACTTTGCATCGTTGGTCA